AATAGTTTCAAAATCTGTTGCTGAAGATTTTTACAAACTAAAATTTGTATTTGATCTATATAAGAAGTGGGAAGAAAACATTAATGCTAAAGAAGAATCAGGGATAAATAAATGACAATTACAAAGAGTTTCTTTAAGAAAGAGAGTAACATTCAAGCAAAAGTAGTTTGTGATAGTATCTCAACAGATGGTGTTAGAATCACTACCTTAGAAATAATCTACCCTAGATTTATTCACAGTGAATTCATGACACACAGAATGTTAAGTAAAAATTGTAGTTCAAGTAGAGCTATCCCTATTAATTCTATGGCAAATCAAATCTTAGATAATATGGCAATACCTGAGTACTTTGGTTCAAATAAATCTGGTATGCAAGCTGGTGAAGAAGTTCAATTCCCAGATTTGGCTAGGAAGATGTGGATTGCTTCTGGTAGACAAGCAGTAGAAGATAGCAAAACATTACATAATGATTTCAATTTGCATAAGCAAATCAGTAATCGTATTACTGAACCATTTCAAATGATTAAAGTCCTAGTTACTGCAACAGAATGGGAGAACTTTTTTAATCTAAGGATTCATAAAGATGCACAACCAGAAATTGCTTTATTAGCTTATAAAATTTACAAAGCAATGGAGAACAGCAAACCAATTGAAATTCAATCTGGTGAATGGCATTTACCTTATGTGGAAAGAAGTTTTGATGCAAAGGGAGAAATCCATTACCACCTCTCTAATGGAGAAGAAGTTGATTTAGATACTGCAATGAAGATCAGTGCTTCCTGTTCAGCACAAACAAGTTACAGAAAGAATGATGAAAGTATTGAGAAAGCAACTAAGATTTTTGATATGCTTATTAATGCAGAAGTTAAACATTCTAGTCCATTTGAACACCTTGCTACACCAAGATTAGCAGAACAGAGTATTGAAAATGGTGATTATGATACTATAGCACATATTAACTTTATCCGTGATATTTCTTCTTGGGAGAGAGGGATTACTCATTCAGACAGAGATGGATATTTGTGGAGTGGAAACCTAAGAAGTTGGGTGAGTTACAGACATAAACATGTGAAAAACAATACATGTTCTAGTTTCAATTTTAATGCAAGAATGAAGGAGTTTGATTGATGTCGCTAGAAATTACATATGGACTATTTAAAATAGAAGCTTCAGAGGACAATGTTGAACTGAAGTTTAGAAGAGAAATAGAAATG